TTGTTAAAGAAAACACAATACAATAATGCAACACTTCTTGATTTTATGATTTAACTATATATAAAAAAGTAGAACGTATACACTTGTAAAAGCACAACCTGAAAGCGCAGGATTAAAAAAGTTTAGAAAGATAGTCTTATATGCAGACGTGGGAAATTACGAGTGTTACCCCTTTTCATGGTCACCAAGTAATATATTTGTTGAACGATGTAGTTGCCAAATGACGTATTCCTCAAATGCCAGTTGCCGAATGCTGTAGTTGCTGCCGAATGATAAAGTCGCAACAAAATACTATATGCGCCGAACAAATGTCTGCTCTGTAGGTGTACCATAATTATACAAAATTTTACTACTTTGAGGGAATAAAATATTATTTTGTAGGAACGAAATATTATTTCGGGGGAACAAAATATTATTTCAAAAACGAAATATTATTTTGTTCTCTCGAAATGGTTTCCTCGAAACGAAATATTATTTTGAGAACGAAATGATTTTATTTCCTTGAAATAATATTTCATCCACTCGAAATAATTTAATATTTTTTTAACCCGTCCCTTTATGCGCTCCTTAGAAATTTGCTGAGACACTCATAGATATATTACATTGTACTGTACAAAATAAAAATCAAACATTTGAACAATCCTTTAGAGTGTTTTTCACATTTTTATTTTCACAAAACAATTATTGCTGATTAAAGTTTACTTTTTGAATGTATCATTGATGCACATACACATAAACATAATTATACTGTGTTTTGAAGTTATAAGAAAAAAACATTCTTTGCCAATTCTCTGTACCAATATGACATTAGTGAAATAGATGTCAAAAGAGAGTTCTCAGGTGTGAAAGTAAATAAAGCCACAGGACCAGATGGCATTACAAATAGAGAATTAAAGACCTGTAGCACCCAATTAGCCAATGTTTTTTCGCTAATTTTCAAGTTAATTTTAGTAAATGGCACCATCCCTCGTACTTGGAAGACATCAGTCATTCATCCCTTACCTAAAATAAAAAAAAAAAACCAAGTGAGGTTAAGGACTTTCGTCCAATTGCGTTAACATCCAATGTTTTTAAATGCCTTGAAAGAATAATGTTAAAAAAGTTGAAATGTTATACGGGTAACCATGACCAATATCAATTTGCATATAAGAAAAATAGAGGTGTAGATGACGCATTGCTGTACTTTCTTCATAATGTTAACACACATTTAGATAAGCCTAAGAATTATGTGCGATCCACCTTTTTTTGATTTTTCTAGTGCTTTTAATACTATTTTACCCCATGTTCTTTAAATAAGTTAATTGATTTTAATATTCCACCTATCATTGTACGTTTTATCTATAACTTTTTAACTGACTGTCCTCAGAGAGTAATGTGCAATAATGTCATCTCTGACACAAAGATTTTAAGTGTAGGTTGTCCACAAGGCTGTGTAATATCTCCAATACTTTTTTCGTTTTATACAAGTTATTTTAATATTTTAAGTAGCAAGTACAATATAGTTAAGTATGCAGATGACACAGTAATATCCGGCTTTCTTTATGACAATGCCCAAGATTAAGATGTGTAATAGATTTGTTAAATGGTGTGACAAGCAAAATTTATTTTTAAATGCAAGCAAGACAAAGGAAATAATTTTTGACTTTCGCAAATCTGTTATTCATCATGAACCTGTAATAGTTAAAGATGAAATTGTAGAAAAAGTATCTGAGAACAAATATTTAGGAACTATTGTTAACGATCAGCTAAAGTGGAATACAAATTCAAAAATTCTAGCTAGCAAAGCATCCAAGAGGCTATACTTTTTAAGAAAACTAAAAGAATTTAAAGTAGACAACAAAATAATGGTGCTTTTTTTTATCAGGCTATGATTCAAAGTGTTCTGTGTTTTAACATGTTATGTTTCTTCGGTAATCTAACCATTGATAAAAAGAAAAAGATTGAAAGAGCAAGAAAAATAGCACAGCGTATTATTAAATGCAACATTACACCATTGTCTAAAATATATGAAAAACGTGTTGCTCTTAAGATAAACAAAATTATGAATGACCCTACACAACCCCTTCACAGTTGCTATAGTTTTAATAGATCAGGTATAAGACTTTGCCCTCCTCGTACACTGCGTTGTCGCTACAGAAACTCATTTGTGCCAAATTCCATCCATATTTTTAATGTCGGTGTTAAAAGATAAATCGAAGTTTTACTTTTTAATCTATTTTAAAATTTTTTAACTTTCTAACTTTTTAAAAATTTATTGTTTTAGACTAGTTTTTTGGTAACTTGCCTTGTTGTATTTTTTTTTATTGTTACTGTGTGTTCATATACGTTTCTTATTAATTATTGTAATTTTTGAAATGCTGTACAGCCAAAATTTCTTTTTATGTATTATGAAGACAAATACAATATCTTGAATCTTGAATCTTGAATCTAAATTAAAGCCCTGTTTTCTGGTTTTCCTAAAACAGGAAAAAGTTTAAAATGTATATAGTTTTTTACTCTGAAAATTATTGGTGAAGAAGCAACTTGAATGTAAACACATCTTTAAAATTTAATTAATAAGAAAATTACTAGCCTTTTCGAAATCAAGAACAAAAACTTAAAATTATTTTCATTATTAAAATTATTATTTAGAACTACTGCAATGATGTCAGAAAAAGACTTTTATGAATTATTGCAATAATACGGTTTATGAATTCTTCTCCGGCACTTTAATGACTACCTGTAAGAAAAAAAAATTAACATTAAAAAAATCATTTTAAAAAAGAAAAATGTCATATACATCCAACGTATGACTTTCAATCAAACAATCAACAAGGATTTACAGTAAGAGGTAAAGCCAAACCCATGAAGTGTTTCTTCGAGCCTGCAGCAAGATCTCCACAAACGCCAGAAGTCGCAAGAAAATCGACAACACACAAGAGCTATGTGTGTAGTTAGCAGACAGCTCTTGTGTGTGGGAGGTCTTAGGTAAAAGAGTTTTGTTTAAGATGGGAGTTTGCCCTAGAGAGAGAAGCTTGGAAAATTAACCTCATCGTAGTATACAATACCGTTACCAAAACATGTATAGTACTGTAGTATGGTTACAACTCTTAAATGAAAAAAGGCACTTAATTGTGATATTTATATGGAAATAAATATTATGTTATTGAATATATATTCAGTAAGAAATTTTAAACGCGAAAGTGACTACTGTTTTAACCTCATGATATTCTTTCAATGAATCCTCTCCCCTAAAAGTAAATTAATCAAAAAATGTCGAATTGAAATAAAAGTGAAAATCCTTGGCTCATGTGCCTAAAAAAGTCACTTTATAATCAATTAACAACAATTTCAACATGAACAGTTGTGCCAAGAACACTAAAGCTAAGGGGTAAACTTACAGGTCTCTGCCAAACCCAGACTGTTTGTAGCCACCGAAAAGAACCGAAGGTCCACCTACATTGTAGCAATAAACCCTAAAAATGTAAACAAACACAATATTAACTAGAGCAGTCACTCTATAGCGTGCATACCTCCACCCTGTGCCTGAACAATGTGCAGTTGTGTATGATGGGCAATTTCATTTTTTTTCCACCCTGTGCCTGAACAATATGCAGGGGGTGTATGATAGGAGATTCCATAATATTCCACCCTGTGTCTGAACAATATGCAGAGGGTGTATGATGGGTGAATCCATTATTTTCCACCCTGTGCCTGAATAATGGGCCGGAGGTGTATGATGGGCGATTCCATTCTTTTCCACCCTGTGCCTGAAAAATATGCAAGGGGTGTATGATGGGAGATTCCATTTTTTTTCTATTCTGTGCATGAATACCAAACAATATGCAGGCAAGCCATTTTTATGCTTGGGGTAAAAATCTCGGTGACCTTGACCCTTGACCTGTTCTTCCCAAAATGTAATCATCTCTTAAACTTCCTTAAAGCTCTGTCCACATTAGGCCTACCTAGTTTCATGTGTCAAGTAAATGACATTGTCATTAGTGCACTAGTTACATGAGTAACTTTGAAAAAATGATAAATAGGTGGTACAGTGTGGTAGTCAAGTAATGTATTATATAAGCATACCTTTTCCAAATCCCATTCGATCTATCGAAAATATGTAAGCCAAATACAGTCACTTAGATCTATTTGAATCACAATGATAACGTCGAAGATGCAAAATCATTAAGTACTAAGTCACGGCATGCTAGTAGAACACGTATGTGTCTCGTTTCAGAAAATGCTATGATAGCAAAGTAAATCTGTGTCTCGTTTCAGAAAATGCTATGATATAGCAAATTAAATCTGTGTCTCGATCGTTTCAGAAAATGCTATGATATAGCAAAGTAAATCCTTAAACGTGTCGCTATAATGCTTTAATTCAGCCATTTTTAAAGCTAGACCTAAGGTAGTAACAACTTCTCAATTTAAGACATTTAATTAACCAGTCGTGTAAACTTCATCAGAATAATTTCTAATAGTAAGGCCTACATTGTATATTTATAACAATAGCCTACAGGCCTATTAAATGTTTACTCTGGTACTCACCCCCTGTGTCTTTCTCTGTTAACAACCTCCTCCGCTGCTCACACTAGAAGAATAATGAAACGGACCCAGAGGTAACGGAACACTCTTGTTTAACCGGTATATTCAAAATAGGAGGCTTAACTTTGATTGGATGTTATTGTATGCATGGTTGGATTAAAACAATAACATCCAATCAAAATTAGAAATTTGTTGACAAATAATGTAACTGTTAAAATAACAAAAGCCTAATGCCTAATCTAAAGCACCTGTTTGATACTACTAGTCATTAATTTGTGAATTCTATCTTGCCCATACTTTTAAGCTGATTGATACCGTTTTAGTGTAGTATATGCGAACTTAATTTGTTTATGTAAATGTTGAGTAGGCCTATATTAAGCCTATGTATTTTTTTAAATTAATGTAAAGACGGAAGATATGAAATAAATATGATAGGCAATTGATGTAACAATAATACAGATCCGGATGGGCCTGCCCACAGGGCAAGATCCATGGTTTTGGTTGCTTCTAGCAACCCGTAGCTGTCTGTCTAGCAGCTGCGGCGTAAGCCCCCACCCCCATCGGACAAGTCAAGGGCCCCCCGGCCGAGTTCGTCGGGCAGTCACACCAAAAAAAAAAAATTAAATATAGGCCTGCGCTACACCAAGCCAAAGTATATGTCTTTCACACTGCGTAAGTGCCATTTCCGGCCATTCAGAGCTCCCTATTTTTTAGAAAAATCTCATCTCCCAAACCATCCCCCTCCTCAGGCATACAAGCTTTACCACTGTCGGACAGCTTAGCACCCCCCCCACCCCAGAAAATGTATCCCAGAGCAGCCACTGTCTAGGCTAGGCCTATGCAGAATGTAGCCCTATGCTACTAAAGAAACTGCATTAATAGACCTACAGTAGAGGCCTAATTGTTATTTAATACATTAATTGTATACAATACAAATTGCAATACAGACATTGGAAAGTTAATATGTTTAATTTAATTAAATATTTAACATTCAGTTCCCCTTCTCTTGTGTAATATAGCCGGCAATTTTGTGGAACACTAAAAAAGTAATAAACCTTAACTTCAGCAGTTATGTTGTGATAGAAGTTGTAATTTTAATTTATTACGCCCATTTTTACTTCCAGTAAGATAATTTGTTCATGGGATTAAGGTTGGAAAATCCACAGACTAAGCACAGTATTGTAGTACTAGTAGCATAGGCCATTGAATTGTTTTCATTTCTTTCTGTGATTACGGCCTAATCCCTACCGCAAAAATAACTCGGCCTATGTATTATTTCACTCTGTGTAGATCTACACAGAGTACCCCGTAATGTCCGAGGATCCTAAAGGTCCAGGGATCCTAATTTTGGAAAAGAAAGTTACACAGGGACAACTTATTTTTTCTTACATTGGTTGTACCATAGAGTTGCTGTGTTTTACTATGTTGTGTGATTACAAACAGGGCTCACTCTGTGTCAAGGACGAACTATAACTGAAAGACGAACTATTATACTATTGCTGAAATTATGCATGACGTTACATACGAAGCCACGCCCCCTCCCAGTTTTCCCATCCCAGCCATTTCCGGCCATCTAGAAGTCCCAATGAAAAAAAAAACAACAAAAATCTCGTTTTTTGAGAGGATGGGACACCCACCTCCCATACCCACCCCGGCTCCGGCCTTCCGGCCCTCAGATAACGCTGCGCGCTATAGTTACACCCATAAATACTTAGCTCCCAGTCGGACACCTTAGCGCGCTATAGTTACACCCATAAATACTTAGCCTCCCAGTCGGACACCTTAGCCGCCCCACCCCCCTCCCACTGCAACGTCACAACTAGCCTATGTATTATAGTTGTCTCAGCTATTAGATAGGTTGTCTTCATAAACGTCTACGAATGGATACCTCGCTCGAAGCAAGAAATCAAGTTGTTTTTATCCAGTACCGCTCGTTTTAAATTATTCGGTAGTAAGCAAAGATCTTATAATATACATGATGGCGTTCTCCGCGATTTCTTTGTGCAAATTCTGTAACAGTAACAAAGCAATATAGGGCGCCATCTGGAGTCCCGCCATTACAATTACATTTGCATTTTTGACATCTACGTGCAAATTCTAGAACAACCGCCATATAGAGTTGGAACTCTACCACCATAGTGACAAGGACGCCCTCTCTCAATTACAATTATTTTCTACTTTACTGAACATAGACGCTTCTATTTGTTAAGAGTAGAATTGTGGAGAGCGCTATTATATCTTGCAATTATAAGATCTTTGGTGGAAAGTTTTTCCTACTCAGCACTATTCATTAAGCGCAAGCTAAGTAGTCTAGTGCTTATGGCGCCGGCTAATTTTCTGGAGGTCGTAGGTTCGATTCTCACCCATAATATATGTATATCGCAAGCATTTGGGAACGATGAATGTAGATAAAAATGACCCCGGTAAAAATGGCCGAGGAAAAAATGGCCCCGGAAAAAATTCCCACGGTAAAAATGGCCCTAGTAAAAATGGCCCCAAATGACAAGTAGGTAGAAATGGCCCCAATGAAAAAATTCAGTTTTTTTTAAATCTTCAAATATTAAATACTAGCTGTAACAAGCAAGAATTGAATCAATAACAAATACAGTTACACAACAGATGCAAATAATGTACTGAGAGATTATCGGAAACAATGGCCATTGAATAACATTTTTTGATAGTAGATATAAGTTTTAAAAAACGTTATTCCACTAACAAAGTAGAGGAATGACATACATACCAAACACACAACAACCAAAATATGCAACTCATAGATAACCACAAAATTCACTTTTGTTAAGTATCAAATGAAATAACTTTACATGTTATAAACAGTGCAAATAAACAGTAGTGTAACAATATTCTAAACGCTTTAATAATAAACGCTTTACCGCCACCTATAGACGATGGTTTAAGTTGTTGCAAAGTGTGAGCATTAAATGGCGCACGCCACGAAGTAAAGCATATTTTATCGTTCTATACTTGTATAATTAACTACAAGCTTATCTTAACATGGTGGCAGCGGTGGTGAATTAATCAGCAATTACTCCTGCACCAATGCCAGGACTTATTGTGCTTCAAACCTGTATACATCAAGGACAATTCCTGTAGAGTACGTGAGTCATTTCCCCTCTATTTACTACTACTGTGACTGCTATATTAGAGGCCTAGACCTACACGACTGATCAGCATTATGAGCTTGCCGACTGCCCCTGACGCCGACGCGTCAAATGAGGTTGAACCAAATAGCTCCAGTAACGCCGGCCTTGGTCCTACTGCATACAAGAAACCACAGATTCATCCACCGACGCCTTTCAATCCAGAAGGTGATGATGTTGCCGAGGTTGCAGAGAGATGGAAAATGTGGAAACAAATGTGGGGAAATTATTGCACTCTGACAAATTTAGCCTCTCAACCCCAGCCATACAAAACGGCATTATTACTCCACAGCTTAGGACCAGCGAGACTAAGAGTATACAATGGTTTAAAATTTGATGACCCTGCTGATGCTCAACAAGTAGATAAGATTCTGCAGCAGCTCGATAGCCACTTCCTTGGTCAGCAGCAAGAATTTAAGTTCAACAAAAGAAACCAGAATGCGGGAGAAACTATTGAACAATATATCACTACCCTAAGAAATATGTCAAAGACCTGTGGATTTTGTGCATGCATGAAGGACAAATTGCTTATGGACCGACTACTGATGGGTGTAACTGATGATAAAATGAGAGAAAAGATGGCTTCCACTCATGATCTCACTCTACCTCGAGCTATAGAAATTTGTTAAGCTATTGAAAATGAAACAGTACAGATGAAAGCAATTAGAGATAAAGATGCTATAGTAAAAAAAATATACCAACCTAAACAGCAAAGATCAAAGAAACAAATCCATCATGTTGCAGCCTCAAAGCCAAGAGGTTTTACAAGACTCTGCAAATTCTGCAGAAAAGACCATCCTTTCCGGAAGGAAGAATGCCCCGCATGTGGAAGGACCTGCAGTGACTGCGGACGACAAAACCACTTTAAAGCACAAGAAAAGTGCATGTAGTTGAACGTGAATATACCTCTTCCTCAGATGCAGAGAGCATAAGTCACATATCTGAAGTCAATGCTGTAAGCCGTAACCGAGGTAAACCGATATACTGCAACATGGAGATTGATAGCAAACCTGTAAAGTTCCAAATTGACAGTGGAGCCACAGTGAACTTGGTTCCTCAGAAATACGCCACCAACATTGACAAAGAAGAGATCAAACCGAGGATGTGGAACAATGCCGGAATGAATACATTGGGCCGGACAACTGTCAAGATGAGAAACCCATCTACCAGAAAAAAAATACAAAGTACACTGCGTTGTGGTAGAAGAAGACTTAACTCCCATCCTAGATCGAACTGCAGCTGAAGCGATGGGCTTAATTACAGTCAATTACGATAACTTCATGCAAGTCAACTCTGTCAATTCACATTTACCCAACTACATCAAGGAATATGA